GCGAATGGGGTCGAGACTGTTGGGGCGAAATGTACCACTACCGAGAGTTCAGCTACTGGCTCAACAGAAACCCCTGGGAACGCTTCAAGGAAGACTTTATTGCTGTTATCTGGTGGAAACTGACGGGCAAGTGGGTGAAGCTATGACTGTGGCTAGGCTGTCACTCGCCCGGACTTTTTCCAGTTATCTATCACTTGCAGGAGCAGTGAAAAAAAAACACCCTGTCATGGCACAAGCAGGTGGCAGCAGCCTTGCCGCAGCTCAAAAAAGCTTGTCAAGCGATTTTCTCACATTGACATAATCACGGCGTTTATACATCGGGGGCGGTAGCGCGGAGCTTGATAGCCCAATGGAGATTGGATAGAATTTCCCCGGCCTAGCGAACTGCGACTGTTTGAGTTACCCTTCATTGTGTCATATTAATACCCGTTCTCTTCACGATTGGATGTTTCGAAAAAGGGTTGCAAGGGGAGAGAGAAGAGAATTCTGTCTGGGGTAGGCCAGGTTCAGATGAGACCATGAAAGCAACTGACGGCCGGTCTATGCGACATGCGGCCAAAGAATGAGCACCAGGACATACACGACGGCCTTGTTACACGACGTTGGGTTATCTTGGATGGTACGTGACGATATGCATTTGGTTTGGTGCATAGGCTCAATGAATCGTCACCACGACTGAGAGGCGTTTTTAGGAGCCGAAAAAAGAAGATACAGATGCTTTTATTATTTATTACTTTTTTTCTCTTCCACACGGACGGGCAAATTTTTTTTTGGTGTTCAGGGAGCACGAGGCAAGGCGGAGGCTAATGGGGAGGAGAGGAATTTGTTAGTCCCGTCTTTATCTTGTTGTTCTATTGTCCAACACACAACTTACCAACCCTGTCAGACGGCCCTCACAGGCGTTGTCACATTTTTAATCTTCAAAGGACTTCTTCTTCTTGAGCATGATATTGATGCTCGTGGTATTTTGATACCTTATTTTTCTATTTTTTTTTTCTTCGCTGTACTTGTATAGTTTACGTATGGCTTATTTTTACAATGTACGGCATCACGTCTCACCAACTTTCCGTGTTGTAACACGATGTAGCTGTAGGAGAATTCCATACAGATGGTTACGGGAGGGAGCCGGCGTCGACGACGACCGGAGTTTATTGGACGTTGCGTCAGACAGAATATGGTGTTGGCACTGGGCGGCCTGCGCCTGTTAGGCAGCATGATTATCACGACCAGGCTGTTGGTTGGCGCTCATCCGTGACTTTCGCCGCCGAGCATGATCAACATGATCTGGTCCTTTGTACTCCGTTGGCAAGGAAATGACTTGGGGAGGTAAGGATGAACCTTGTTTGCGGTTGCCGGGACGGGACGGGATGCCGAAGATTGGATCGACTATATCACATTGATGGGTTTGAGGGGGAGCACAAGTAGTTACAGGAACTGTGAATCAGCAGCATAGACAAGTCGGAAAGGTGAGAGGCGATTGCTGTACCAAGGACGGAGTAGCAACAACCAGAAGACACAGGTGAGAGGGTTGTTCATCTACCTAGCTATGGTATGTTGATGACAAGTGGAAGGAAGCAGGATGGGTGTCTAGAGGCTTGTAACCTTTCTTTCCGGACGGCCTTTAATCATTCCCCGTTTGTAGATACGGACCTTTGCTGGATATTGCTGAAGAGGAACCCTGATCCGGAAGCGGCATCTTATGTATGCACTCCAGCTGAAACAGGAGACGTGTATTTGCTTACCTGGTGGCGTGGAGTGATCTGGGGGTGTGCAAATACTCATTGCCTCTCACTGTATTGCAGCACACAAAGGGCCAGCCAACATATTTTGACACCGGGCAGTGCACCAGACAAGAAGGTGCGTATGGGGATCTGCAGAGACTGAGGGACACAGTTGTTGGATGATTGATCTCGAGGAAAACCCAGCGGTTTGTCTGCTCTGGTGTTGGTTCCACCTTCTGACTGCGTTGGCTGTTTCAAAGTCGATGTACGTAGCTCGAAGGAGGAAAGGGCGGCGAGTCGCTTTTTGGTTAAGTGACTGAAGTTAAAAGCTGGAATATGGAGTACTGTGGGTTGCGGGAATTTTTTTTTTTTCGCTTAAAGGGAGAGATAAAAAAAAAATCGTCATCATGGAAGCACCACAACTTTCTTTGTTCTCGTGTTGTGGCTGAGGTGCAGATTTTCTTACGGTTGTGTTTGCGGGTCATTATCGCAGCCTAAGGGCTACAGGACGGAACTTCTGCCATGCAAAAGGAGAGACCGTGAAACAGTTGCTGACCAACACAACAGTCTTGTGCATCTAAGGGAGGCACTGTAAAACGTGAATCGAGCATCGGATACGTCTGTGTGTTCTCTGTCGGAAATGCCTTGCTCGAGGAACGTTATTTGCAATTGGCCAAATCGTGGTAAGTGGGCCGTTGTCTTGGACCCGTAAGCTATTATCAGAAATGTTGGGGCTGCAGGAGGAAGAAGGTAGTAACGTAGATGCTATTATGAGATGGCTGGCTTCTCACCCATGGCGCTTATTTGCATAGGATCGTCGTCATTTGGCCCCGGAAAATATGATAAAGGTCTGCAAGCCAGAAAGCGAGCAAGGTGGAGCAAGTTGTGGGTTTCTCACTCGCATTACGGAGTAATGATGGTAAATTGATGGTTGATGGATATTTCGGCGGCGCAAAACAGTCCATGGCTAGCGAGTATGAATTCCATATATACTGCATCTCAGCGCGAAGTGCATGTCGCACAATGATGGTGCACGGTGCGCCAACATGACGCATCGATTCGCTTGTCGAATCAAGATAATACACACCGTAGAAAGTAAACTTTCCTAAATCAAGGTGGTTGTCAGAACCCTAGTGTTTTGTATGTCCAACAATGTTTCAATAAAAGAGGCTCTTGGGGCCTGCGAATCGATCATGTGATGTTCGACACAGGCGTCAAACACTGTGGGAGAGCTTAATTCTCTGGCGAGGATCAGGGTCGGATAGCCGGCAGTTGTTGAATATTTCCTCTGTTTCGCCAAGCGGGGATATCGGTGCTTGTCAAACAGTCAGAGTGTGTCAGGCACAGGCATGCTCTTGTTCCTGCATGGCTAGTCAAGTTTGGGGTGTCATGGTCGAGTTGGGATGACGGCCGGATGGGGCAAGGCGGCAAACATTCTACGGAGCCCAAACGCACCCGTTCACTGTGCAGTCAAACTGCGTTGTTTCAATCTTCCTATTGGTCTCGGCGTTTCATCGGTAAGGGACTCGGTGCCGTGCGACTTGGGGCTCTCAGTCTCTGAAGTTCGAATGTCCGGGGGGACGTATATTTGTTGTTTGCCATGAATGACCCAATAGCATGCTTTATGTCGACTTCTTAGACGTGAAGAGGCGCCAAGGATTGTTGGCCCGGGTGAACAAAGGGCCTGACTTGGAGAATGTGACGGAACTGGGGCAAATTCGCGCAATATCTCATTGAAGAGGTCGCCCGTTTGTGTGTCGAGATACCGTGCGGCTGTGAACACGTGCCATGGACACAAGCCGGGTAAGGAAGTCTTGCCTATCAATCGACACCACAAAGCGCGCGCCAAGCCCAAAGGTACAATGGACGAACCGTGAAAGCTGCATCGTAGCTGCCTGACCACACAAGACGGTGTGCCAAGTGTGCGTAGGGAAGGTGCAGGGAGCACACAGCGGACGAACACTTGCGGACGCTGACGAACACTAGACGTGGCTTGCCCCACCTGAGCGCCAGTGGCAGGCACGGACAGGACTTTAGCAGCAGTCTTGCCCCTTCTGCCTCTTGGCGTTGCCATTCACAGGCTTTGATTGGCCCCTCGGTAACAACACCAGAGTCTCAGATTCACCAGCCTCCACTTCTTTGGCTGACGACGCCCAGCAGTCTAGCCTTCCCGCCTCGCTCTTGTTGGCTCCTGGAAAACCACGACTGCAACACCGCGGGAAACATGTTGCTAATAGTGGGCCAGAAGCAACATAGGAATACCTCCCATCCTTTTCTATTCTACCGACAATGTACATCCTGATGCTCGGAAACGCCAGAAACGGAGGGCTTGACCGGGGGGGCAAAGGGGGGGAAGGATATTCAGATCACTGGCCGGGCCGTGACCGACACCCAACAGACACAGCCAGGCGACCAGAGAAACAATGAACCGTATTTAGATACCTGGATTCCCGTCCGACGTCCAACACGTCTCTGTTAGTCACTCTTCACCACCTTTCTTCTTCTCTCCTTTTTGTGCAGGCACTGTCCCAGGCTTTCGGTCCCGTTGACGGTTCCCGCATCCTTTGTTCCCTGCCGTTCAATCCTTCCGGCAGCTGGTGAACATTGTGTTTCTCGTCTTAGATTCATTCATCTTCCTCTTTTGGACTACCAGCCTCTCTATTGAATAGAGAAAGACGTCATTTAACTTCAATTGTCCACCTTCTAGTCGTTGGTTATCATTGTTCTCCCACCCAACAATTGATTCCTTTCCTTTGGACTCTGTCTTCAGTTCCTGATCAACTCGATCTTTTATATCGAGGACGCCATTCCTCAGCCGCCCTCTCTTATACATTCATTGCCTGCCTATTGTTAGTCTCGGCACTTTCAAGGCAAACCAGCGTTATCTCATTGGGAGACTTGTTTGTACATTACTCCATAGCCTTCACTCTCTAGGCTTCTTGGTAGCTGCTACTGCAAGTGCGATACAGTTATTCTCTCTCTCTCTCGCTCTCTCTTGTCTCCCTCACATCCAAGTCCATGCTGGAAACAAGGCTCTGGTGACGGCTTCATTACGTTATCTAGCGCAGCAGAGAAACTCGAAGGCATTTTCATCTCTCATATCACTGCGCGCCGGGAATAGTCTCGCAAGATCCTTGCTCCTACTATTTCACCGCTTGCATTGACGCTGTCGTGCCGGCTCACACAGCGAAACCGCCTCCAAAAAATCACATATTTTCACTTTATTATTCGACGAAGCATCCATACCAAACCTCGACGGCAATCCTACATTCAGTCGCCATGCGCTTTTCAGGTCGCTTCGCGGCCCTCGCTAGCACTGTGCTTTTTTCTGCAGGTATTGCTCATGCGGGTTACCAACTTGACACTACTTACGATACTACCAACTTTCTCAACAGTTTCGACTTCTTCACACAACCAGATCCTACAAAGGGCTTCGTTCAATATGTTGATGGACAGACTGCCAACAAGGAAGGCCTTGCCGTTTACGCCCAGGGGGGGATATATATGGGCGTTGACTTCAAGACCAAGAACCCCCCCCAAGGTCGCAAGTCAGTTCGTGTTACGTCCAAAAAGTCATTCACTCGTGGTCTGTTCATTGCCGACATAGCCCACATGCCTGGTAGCATTTGTGGCACATGGCCAGCTTTCTGGATGTTCGGCGACAATTGGCCAACATCTGGCGAAATTGACATTCTTGAGGGTGTCAATTCCCAAGCCCAGAATTCCATTACTCTTCACACAATGGACGGCTGCATAATGTCTAACCAGGGCGTTCTTCCCTCTACCAGGTTTGCCTCTACGAACTGTGGTGCCTCTGGTGTTTCAAGTGGCTGCAAACAGGACACCGCCGATAATTCCAATTATGGCGACGGCTTCAACGCCATTGGAGGTGGTGTTTATGCCACTGAATGGACTTCCGATCACATTGCGGTCTGGTTCTTCCCTCGATCAAGAATTCCCCAGGACATTACTTCCCAGAACCCCAACCCCGGCAGCTGGGGAGCGCCAACTGCTCGATTCGTGGGTGGAAATACTTGCAACATTGACAATTTCTTCAAGAATCACCAGATTGTCTTTGACACCACCTTTTGTGGCGACTGGGCTGGAAAGGTCTGGTACGCGGACCCTAAGTGTGCAGCTCTGGCCCCTACTTGCGAGGCATATGTTTCTGGCAACCCTGAACAGTTTGCGAATGCCTTTTGGGTCGTCAACTCTGTTAAAATCTACCAGCAAGGAGGCAATCCAGGTCCAGTCCAGCACTGGGCGGCTCCAAATCCATCTTCAGGCTTAGTTGGGCCTCAAAATCAAAACCATCCTCAACCGCAAACCCAGGTCCAGCCTCAACCAACTCAGCCAGCTACTCAACCTCAGCCTACGAATGGGCAAGTATGGAATGGTCAGCCACAGCCTAATCCTGGTACCAACTCTCAATCGCCGCCCCCACCAAAACAGGACAGCTCATGGAATGGCCAAGTTTGGAACGGTGGTGGCTGGGATACCAAGATACGAAATAGGGCTGTTGCGAAACGGTTTTCTGCTTAGGCACGATATGCAGGAGCTGCACTACCACAAAGAGAGAATGCAAGCATGCAAGCAAGAGTGGTTAAAACAAAGATACCCAGGGCGGGTTCCCATTGAAAAGAAAGGACAGCTAAGCATGATGATAGTGCTTGCATTATGATGACGGAAATATCGGTTAACGTATTTTTTTTTTTTGCATTCAGTGTTCGATATATTCCACTATTTAGGCAAGAGCCGCTGCGATGCATTTTTTCACTGTATATACGAACTTTTACGATGAGTTGCGCGTGTGGCGGCAACTGTATGAAACAAAGATTCGACTATGAAGCCTTTGACCCTCCCGCTCCGGTGCATGTGTGAACAAGGGCTATGTTGTTGACTCTTGCGTGTAGAACAGAATGAAACACACACTTTGCATTGCCTTCTTCGCCTTTGCCAGACCAGCGACAACAGCCAGGATCCTCCTCTGCGCCTTCACTTCGCGACTCTCACTCTGCCTCACCACCAAGCCCACGACAATCACGAATGAACCATGTACCAGATAGCTGGTGCCCGGATGGAGCTGAGCGAAGGGATGTTATTCAGCGTGTATAATGAAAATTCTACGAGGCAACGCCCAGACAGACTCAACAGTAATTGGTCATGCCCCCTTAGACAACTGACCCGTGATTGATACCCCAAATTATCTCCACACTGCACGAGGCTCGAGGGCGCGAGCGGCCGGCTGAGCCAGGCCCAGCCACAGGCGGATCATCAAGAAACTCTGCGCGTCACATCGTGGGTATTCGAGTCGTCGCGCCACGACTCAGTTTGCCGCTTCTGATTTCTTGACTCTCAACTCCATCAATCGCGCCCTCAATTGAGCTGCAAAACACCCCAACGGAAGGGGAGGAACATACATAATCACATACGTCTTCTTTCTTTCTCCAAGAAAAATTAGTCCAGGATAGCAGTGCCCACTATGTCTGCAATTAGCCTCGACTTCACCAAGAACCTCTCCTACTTCACCGTGAGCCCACGACCCCCGCGTATGCCTCGTGTCCAACCAACTCATCGTCAACCCCTAACCTAGATCCCCGCCGTCTTCGTCGCAACATGCCTCGGCCCTCACATGTTCGCCGTCGCCTGCTCCGGCAAGACGTACGATAACGCAAACCCGCGAGCCTTGCGCGACGCCGTCTGCAAGAGCGAAGCCATCGACAAGCCCGTAAGCGTTGCAAGCCGCCAACGTCCAAAAGAAAGACGGAAAAAAAAGGAAAAAAAAAAAACTGACAATTCTTCTCCATCCAGCGCCAGCAGATGATCCTCCGCGCAAAGGGCGCCTCTGAGAATGGCTTCGAATCCCTGGGCCTCTTCGCAGGCGGTGTCCTCGCCGCCAACCAGGTCGGGCTTCACGCGTGCGTCCTCAACACCTTGAGCATCGGCTATCTCGCCGCCCGGCTCGCCTACGTGTTTTGCTACGTCAAGCTCGGCGGGAACAGAAAGTTGTCCGGGCTGCGCAGCGTGGCGTGGATGGCCAGCGTGGCACTGTGCTTGACCATGTGGGTGAAGGCTGGAATGAAGGCCATGCAGTGATGATTCTTTGACGCAACGATCCGTCTCATCCAGGTCACACCTGTGCTTCTATATGGCGTCATGTTGTTGTTGTTGTTGTTGTTGCCGTCGTCGTTGCGCTGGCTTCACAACGGCTGCTCTTGCCCCTTTTCTTTTCCTATGACGATATTCAAAAAAGTAGACCCAGTACTCCACTAGATGTATCAACCATGGACCCTTGAGGAAAAAAGAAATATCATATACTCCTTCCTCGTAAATTCTCAATCCGATCCTTGGGCGGGAGAAGAAAAAACGAGACCCCTCCAATTTCCCTCCTACCTTGTCTTGCCGCTCCTCAAACCGCACATTGTCATTATATATATACATATCCTGACATGGTTAAAATGCTTTCCCACAAGCCCATCATCCTCTTCGCTCTCCTTTGCACCGCAAGGTTCCTCGACAGGGACAGAATTCCTTGCCCAACGCCCACAGTCACTCATCGCCACTACTTCAGTACGGCATCGAGACCGCAGGCTACTCACGTCCCAGGTCCTCTGCCAACCGAGATCCGGTGTGACGTCCCCTCGCGTTACAGGTCAGACTGTCAGCACACCTACTGCGACGAACATGAGGCAATGTGGTGCTACCTGTGGGGTGGTGTATCAGCGTATGACGTTTCACTCGGCATAGTTCCTGGTGAGACGAGGGTATATCTCGGGACTTGTGATGGTAAACCAAAGACTGTGGCCCCCAAATGCCGCGGGGGAAACTGTGGACACGATCAATGTGACGGGTAAAAATGGGTGAGCTGTCCTGTTGCTTGGCTCCTTCTTCCGTTGGTGTTTTGGGAGGCCGACGAAGATTGGGATTCTCGGGGAAGGGGCTTGTTGTTCGAATGTTGATAGAGGAATATGGGTTTGCGAATAACTTCTAGAAAAAAAAAGGGCACTTGACTAGCCAGAAATTGTTCATCTTGTCCGCTGACAACCAGTATTCTTAAAAATCAAATTCAATTGTTTGTTTATCCAAGCAGATGGGATGTGGACATACAAATCTGACCACCCCAAGAAAAATTGCGTCAACTCATACGCCCGGATCATTTATCACCTTCCCCAAATGTATATATGCCTTGAGGGCATTGTCTATTGCGACCTAGTTCCCTGCGTCTTCGTCGGCGAGTAAAGCACCCCGAGCCTCGTCATGAACAGCCTCCTCCGTCGCATCCACGTCATCTTTAATTCTAACGGCAAAGATGCAAGAGCCCAGGACAGATATGCCCCCAAGTGCCATGACAATGGCAAAACTGTGGTCACCAGGCGTACCCCGTGGCTTCTGCAGAAACTTGAACACTATACTTGATCCCACAGTGGCGATGACTTGGGGGACTGCAATGGCCATATTGTGAATGCCCAGGATCACGCCGGCTTGGTCCACTTCTTCTTCATCATCAGCCAATTCAGCATCCATGTCTTGCGAGTTTCCGTTGGACGACGGTGCATCAGGGCCATTGCTCTGACATGGTGCCATATTTTGAAGCCTCTGTACCCGAGCAATGGCGTCTCGCCGACTAATTTCACCGCTGATGATGGCCCATGGAGCCCACAGAGCCATGGCCCAGGTGATGCCAGCCAAACCTATTAAGACCGTGGCTCCTGCAACGGACCGGACAAGCACGGTGCAGAACATGGAGACTGCGAATAAAACCAGTGATCCGAGCCAGGCTCGCTTAAGGGTGAATCCTGGTATTCTCAAATAGTCGAGGTATGATCGTCGCGGCAGTCCAGTTGTCTTGGTCGCAACAGGTTGACCAGTGTGTTTGTTGACGGACACCGGGTGACCGTCGAAAGTAGGCGCAATGAAGAAGGGTAGAAATATGTTTGTGAGTAAGCTTACAATGGCGTTCACCAGTAACGCAAATGTCCCGATGCGGGTGGCTTGTTCGTACAAAGCCTCCAGCTCTTCGAGCGTCATGTCGGGATTCTCCTCCAGGTATGGCTGGACGTAAATCTCTCCAATGTACGAAGAGGTGTAGAACAGGAGCGGGAAAAATCCAACCCAGGCAAAGAACTGGACTTCGCAGACTCGTTTGGTTTGCGGGGGCAGTCGCTTAATCGACTTGAGGATGTTGAAGAAGAATGTGACAATGTTTGGCGTCTTCTTGATAGGAGAACCGTCTCTTCGAGGATCCCTTTCACGAATACTAATCGTACTGAGTGCAATTGTGATTGCTAGTCCAATACTGGCCACGGCACAAAGAATCTTGAACTGGTTGTTTCCAAGAAACCACAAGTATGCCGGAAGATTCACGTATCCCGCAATAAATCCTATGATGTTTCCAATGCCAGTAGCCCGACTCGCCATCGCATTTGCTTCCTCTTGTTGATGAGCAGGCGCACAGTCCACAAAAAAGGCGCGAATGGCGGCTTGGACGGTATTGATGGCAATATCAAGCACATATATACCAATCACAGCGGCGATGATGGTGACAACTTTCACACCTTCCGACTTCGGGTCCGCGCCAAAGATGCCTAGTACACCTCCAACAATCTCCCGGGCCCAGGCGAGGAACATGAGCCCAGCAACAGTAGCAATAGTGCCACCTACCATGAATGGCCGACGTTTGCCCCATCGCATGCGGCAGTTGTCGCTAATCATTCCGACATACGGCACAACGAGAGTGCCCGTCAACGGCCCAGCAATCCATACCAGTGCCATGAGTGACTTGCTAAGGCCGAGAGATAGTAGATATGGAGATCCATTCGACAGCTCAACCGCCCATGCAAGCTGCAAACCGCCCATGCTGACAGTCAGCATGATCATGTACCACAACCCCTTGGTTTCCTGCGTCTCGTCGACGTGCTGTAGGGCAGGAGTTGGTCTTGCTGCATCGTCTGAATCCGACTCATTGCTGCTGAGGAGGGGTGAGTTCTCATCAACCACGTCGCCCAAGCGAGTGGCGAGTGATGATGCAGTCTGGCCAGATTCGATGTTACGGGTATCCGGTTGTCCTGAAGTCGATGGTGATTTGACTGGCTCGGGGACGGCTTTCGTATCCTGGGCGTCCTGATCCCGTAGACTCGCCATGATGGAAACTTGGCCAAGGCAGAGAGGCAATCTACGCGTGCGGCCGCCGGCTTGCTAATTCGCCCCGAGGTTTTGATGGAGAAACCCGTGTACTCAAGTAGGTTGACGTAGCTGCCCGGGGTTACAGCGAGGCCTGTCCTGCGCAAAAGAGCGTCAAATGGTACAGGATCATGATGGTGCAGCAGGTGAGTCTCTGGAAATAGCAGACAGTGCGCTCGGGTGATTTTGTGCAACGGTCTGGTCTATTGTGATGAGTAAAAAGTGCCACGCGACACAGTGCTGTGACCAATGCTCCTCAGAATGAGGTCACGACGTCGTTGGCCTTTCACTTTCATTGGGGGCCGAAGCCACCACGGCTTCTGCTTGTACAGGGACCTTGACCGCGGCTTTGAATGAGCTGATGTTCAGAGTACCGTCGACCTGCTGCCCTTCCATGTTGGGCCGCCATTGGGGATACCCGTGTTTCCGCAGGTGGCTCCCTACCCTATAGGCGGCCTACTCTGTTCGGCCAATCATATCCATTTCGGCCTTTTGAGTCAGGCCTACCTTATATCCGTGTGCGAATTGTGTGGGCTTGTGAAGCTTCATCTGCGTTTTGGCGTATTGAACCAGGTATCACTGTCAATTTTCCGTCGTCGGGTGCTGTATGCCTACGGGGAATAAGGATTGCCGTGGGCGCGGACGCGACATCAGCGGGAGGCTGTCTGTCATGAAAAAGAAGGCCAGACATTGAAGAGTCAAGGCACCGACGTGCATCCTGTGCGGTGCGATAGGCCCAGCGGAAACTACCACCATTCTAGTGGGCTCTAGCATTGAGGGGAACCAGGCACGCGGGTTGCAAAAAAGGCCGCACACCTGTGTGTGTGGCTGTGTGTGTGGTTGCAGCGGCCTTTTTGCAACCCGCGTGCCAAGCGGCAGAGGTCGCGGGGCAGGTATTACTCGTGCCCGCCCCTAAAATAGTGGGGCGTGGCACGAGTATACAATGTCACTGGTAACTACGTACATATTAAAGGGCCGCGAGGCCCTCTGCGCCTTGCGCTCGCTCACTTCGCTTCCTTGTTCTCTACTGGTTCATCTTCACACTCTCGTTTCGGTCGGAATAATCGCACATTTCCACTCGCAGGTTTTGAGCGTCTCCCGACGGCAAATGCTCTGCCTAGACGATGCCCCACGTGATCACCTCCTCACGCACCCGTCTAGCCACCGCAAGTCTCATTCAGGAAAGCCATGCCCCTTTTCTTCAAGGATTTGTTGCACGAGAGGCAGCAAATCGAGCTGCGAAGCAGCAACCGAAGCTCTCGGCTGAGAAGCATGCCGCTCACAGAGCACAGTTGGGCAACGTCCGCTTTGTCGTGCAGTGGATGCATACAAAATATCTTGGGATTCTCTTGCAAGGCCAGTGTTAATATATTCTGGTGACTCGGTAGATACTGCGAAGACCTAAAGGTTGGGGACTGGGAGGAGACAATCAAGAATCTGCAGCGACAGACGACGCAGCATTCCCTCCTTTACATTTGCGAAAACTCAAAGATCAAATCATGGGGCACCGGCGAAGAGTACATTCGGCAAGATCCAACAACTGTGTACGACCATTAACGAGCAGTACATGGATCGGAATGATGCCAAGGGGGTATACAAGGTGCGACAAAGCTTGTGATCCCACATATAGCAGACCGGCTGCGTGGCCTACGGTTGACTAACATTCCATAGTATTACAGGCATGTTCTGATTCCTCGCTTTGGCCACCTCCCGCCCAACATTGACGGCAAGCCGGTTCTGAACGTTGATAACCTACTCGTCAGCTTGAGCTTCAACTCGCTTACGATGCGAGCATTTTCCCCGGCGAACGACATCGTATACAGCTTACCTGCTGCTACCAACTTCTTTGCTATACCGGGGCACGGCCAGCTGAGCTTGTGGATGGCGAACGGAAGAAGCCGAAAGATGGATCGGTCGAGCAGCTTTTCGGTCCAAAGGTAGTCGAGGCCCCACCTTCTGGACAATTGTGAAGAACACCAACAACAGGAGTTGGCTCCCGATCAGGACTTTCAACTGCTCGAAAGCCTTCTGTCTCAGGAGACTGTTGGCCGCGGGCGCCCCAAGGCCCTGTGCTATGAGGACATCATGATGATGATTGTGCGGCACCCTGTCACCAGACGTTGCATCCCGGCCATGGCCATCAAATTCATTCATCACAAGGGAGCAGACAATAAACCTGGGTTGTATGTTGTTATCCTCGCCTCATTTCGAAGTCTGTTAACTAACCGCCTCCACTACAGGACCATTTTCTATTTTCCACCCAGCAGGAAGCTCATCTTCTGCGCCGTTTCGACAATCCTTTCGCTCGCTCTACACGACAAGGCATTTGATTCGCCAAGCTTAATGGATGCAACAACGATATTCGATAAGGAACCGCCGAGAATCAAGCACTGGGTGTAGCCCTGATCCTTTCCCTCTTCTCATGCACGGCGCACAATGCCCAGACTGCATTGGCGACGAGCGGCTATCACTGGTGGAGCGTTCCTTCACGTATTGTCGGCCAACCGTGATGAATGATCATTTCGATCGCGAGCATTTGATCAGGCGCGAGCAGGCTGAGCAATGTGGGGAAAAGATCCGGTGCGAGCATCCCAAGTGTCGCAATCTCAAATTTGAATGTTTGGATGCGTTTCGTTGCCACGTCTTCAAGGTCCATGGCGTCGCCTTGCGATCATCGGAACAAATTAGGCAGCGGCAGCACCTTTCGGAAGCCGAAGGTGCTGCCGCTGCCTAATCTTTTCCGTTGATCGCAAGGCAACGGCAAATGGTCAGAGGCAAGTGCTAGTTGATGTGCCAATGCTAAACAATATTGCGCATCCGCTCTCGACTCCGTTCGTCCCAGCATCCACTTCATGCTGGCCACAAAGTCATGGCGATCCGATCCTCCTCATTGTGACGCTCCGCCACATTTGGTTCGGAAGCTCAGTTACCCCGCTGGGGTATAAAGAGCCTGTGCCCCTCCATGAAAGTCCGGGCACTCTCTACACGAACTCTCACCTGCATCCTTCACCTCCAACACTCGATGCCTCCACGACTCGCTCCGCGTATCAGTACGCGACTTCCCAGACGCAGGCTAAGAATATCAGCGGGTACGAAACGAAAGTCACGTCAGTGCACGATATCTTCCTTGCCTATTGAGATTATCACGGCTATTTAGGAGTCGCTTCCAGATCTGCACAGCCTTGGATCGGCCCTGCATGCCTGGTCTAGATGGTAAAGAATATATACTGCTGGCCACGGCCGGATAGCACGTACAATCTTCACAAAGGTCTGCGTGCGTATGCGATATTATTGATTGGGGGAGATATTTTAGAACTTGGTTGTCGCTATCAATGAGCCATAAATGCACCGACTTTACGTAAAGCATATGTTCACAGAGGCATGGCCAATATTCATAAGCCAGCAACTAGACAAGCTTCTCTACCCAATCAGAATGGCTTTAGGCAGAACATGCAACAGAGTACAGTAGTTGAGATAGCCCTACTGCGGATAGCCTGGGATGGCCATGCGTCGCTCCTTCCGCCACCGCCACCTGGACATATTACTGGAAATCCAACTCAGTGGCAACCAGCCCTTCTCATGGTTGGCAAACAGCTTGTCGAATTGACAACAGAGGAAGAAGAGCAGAGGTCAATCATAGCTGGGATGAAAGCCTTAGCCTCGATTAGTCGTTCTTTAAGACCAAGAGTAATGACAGTTGTTGTCAAGAAGGAGGCTATCATTTTACAAACCGAGGACAGTAGCTCAAGCGAATGACCTTGTTTCTTCTTACTCAACACTCCTCGACTACCATTCGAGACTGTCGATTCTTTTGGAGCTACACAATCGTCAACGCTAATGAGTCGAGATTGGAAGAAACTATGCGATCTATGGAAGCCTGAGGGCAAAGCCACAGGCACTGTTGTGGAAGAAACAGTTGTTGAGCAATCCTGAAAGGGACCAACAACGACTGGGCGTCAGGTCAAGTTCCAGGAGGCTACGGAATTGTGTACAGTTGTGGCCCCAGTTCAGTCCTCCAGGCTAAAGTACATGAGATGTCTGTTGCTCGAAGTCCCACGTGTCTTGTGTGCTCTGCTTCGTGTCACGTGCTGAAGCTAAATGGACAGGCGAACAGTTTCATCCGAGGCTACCGTGCTTAGGCCGGCGTTTTTGTGTCAAGGACCTACCAGTATAAGTGCTATAGCCTTGTTACGAGATTTTGCGTCATGGTTAGAATAGAGGGTTAAATAATTTTTAAGCAAGCAGTGAGGCGGTTGGCCTCAAGGTGCGATCAATTAAGCCGCAGATATGGAGCAGACATTCACTTCGCAATTCGCCGCCATTGATATTATGATTATAAGTCTACAACTGACCCTACTTTTCCTCTTACATCGGGGGAGCTAGTACGTATGCTTAAGTAATCCGGTTGCAGAATATGGTGACTAACATTGCTAGAAACGGCTGTATCCTTTGCCAGTGAAATGGGCTCCAGAGGACTTCAGTGATGCACACAGCGAGAATGCGGCTTCGTAACTGGGCAATAATTTATATGTTTTCAGCTTTCCCGCAACATGACGTACCTCTTGTGCGGCCACTTACTCTAGTCAGATACTTCAGTCAAAAGCAAAAAGTGCCCAATTGGACCAGCCAATCGCTGACAGATTCAGAGTGGTTTTCGTTAATATGTCTGGTTGTCGCTGAATGGCCTTGTTGCCTGTGGGACTACTCGTGCCACGCCCCACCATTAGGTAGGTAATTCAGCTACAGAAGCTGTCACCACCTAATCGTGCCCGCCCCACTATTTTAGGCGTCTCGTTTCACTCACCACCTAAAGGTGGTGCTAGACAGCAAGGCGAGCTACCTACTAAGGCAGGCTACTTCATGTAAAATGTATGTATAATAAATAAAATAAAAGGAAATAA